TAAGCTTGTTGATCAAAAAAGTTGGCAGTTCAGCGGTTTGAATCCCTAGCACCGCGTAACGGAGTGAGCTCCTGTTACTTGCCCCAGCTTCTGCCAACCTAGCAGTTCGAAAGCAGGTAAAAATGCAAGTAGAAAAATAGGAGCTACCTTTGGTGAGAAGGTAACAAAGTTCTGTGCGCCTTTGGTGTTTAGTCATGCCGGCCACATGACCACGGAGACGTCTTCAGAAAGCGCTGGCTCTTCAGCTTTGAAATGGAGATGAGCACCTCCCCCTAGAGTCTGGAACGACTAGCACATATGTATGAGGGGAACCTTTACTGTACTTGTTTGGAGCAAAACGATGATGAGAGTTGTCACTGATGCAGCTGTGTTGACTATTGTATTCTTTTTGTTGTTGTTGTTTGTTTGCAGTCATGTTTGCAATGCTGACTTTGTTGCAATCCCAAATATTCAGTTACAAGAGACCTTTGTGCTCCTTAAATAGAAAGCTGCTTACTGCCAATGCTACACAACAGTTGATGTTTAAAGCACAGTCTTTCTTGAGTGTCTCAGATTGAACTGAAAATGGGAGGTTGCTACCAGGGACTCACAAGCCTTTAATTGTATGTCAGGTAATAAAGACAATAGTGATGTTTTGCAATTTATCTCTTTACTGTGAGATTTGGTTTTCTGCATTCTTAGACAACACAGCAATTTTATGGTGACAGTCAAAATATAGCTATGGTTGTATTGTGCTAACTAGGTAGTATCAAACCTATTAGATTGCTTAACCTGTAATACATAGATGAGGACAGTCATATAAAAATCCTTCCCTCGCCAAGATAGATTTTAATAAATTCAAAGTTCTTTTTCACAACCCATAATAATCAGGAAGTGTGGCATTTGTTGGCTTTTAGGGCTTTGACTTCATGAAAGATCATGTTAGCTGAGAACTCTGAAATTCAGGAAGTTGAGATAGCATACTTAAACTTTGGCAGGTTGTTGCTGGTATAATATAAAAGAAGATTGATAGCAAACGTGCTTTGGATTTAGCAGTTTAACGTGAGTATATCAGTTAGTGTCTGGCTTGACATTAATATTGAATAACTGCAGTCTTGAAGACAGATGTTAGGAGATTGTTCAAGTCCATACAGGCCAATAAAGCAATCAACTTTGAGGTTGAAGTCTTTTATATTTTCTTCCAGCTCCCTGATCTCAATGAAGAGGAAATGAAAATTATGTTCGTTACCTGGAAATGACTCCATTTGAGCATAATAGAAGGAATTACAGGTAGTCCTCAACTTAATTAGGACCCCAATTTCTATTGCTAAGCAAGCCTTTGGTCAAATGAGACCTGCATTTTTATGACCTTTTTTTTTTGCCATGGTGGTTAAGTAAATCTGACTTCCTCGGTTGACTTTGCTTGACTAAAGCCTGCAAATGCTGATCACATGACCCCTGGCAGATTGCAACAGTCATAAATATGGTTTCCAAGTATCCAAATTTTATGGGATGCTATGGCGGTTATAAGTATGAAGATCTGCTATAAGGCATTCTTTTCAGTTCCATTGTAACTGTCGCTAAATAAACGATTGTAAATCAAGGACCCCCTGTATTAGTTATGCCCAACCTTACATAGGATACAGGCTATGCTCTGAATAGTAATCTCTCAGTTTGGGATATACTAGTTAGTATTGTTGCCATTCTTGCAGTCAGCTGGAGCTTAGCTCAGCTCAAAGATGTTTTATTTTTACTGTCTCCTATTTTGAAATGAACAACGGAAAACAGAGTTGGAAGGGACCTTGGAGGTCTTCCAGTCCAACCCCTATTCAAGCAGGAAACTCTACACCATTTCAGACAAGTCAGTTGAGATCAGAGAGTGAAATTCCTTCCATCATAAAGAAATTGAGGTCCGATTTTCCCCCCAATCGGGGGAATTCCCCCAATTCACACAGATTCCTTTATCCTGATGAGAAATCGAGATCCTTTCATTTTGCATCTGTGTATTTTTATCATTTCTGTAAGTAAGGGGAACTATCTAAAGCTGTTTGGAACATGGTGTCTCCCTTTCCAACTGTGATGAATTCACGCATATTTAGCTCTTAATGTTTTATTCTTTGTGCAGTGTCAGACAAGTTTGTTTTTTCTAAACCAGAAAGGTGTATGCTGTGTGCTCACCATAGAATAATCACAGGTAATACATTAGTCACAGCCCTATTTAATAAAAGCATATTCAGTTGGAGAACTGAGATACAATGAGCTGGCATAATTTCTGCTGAGCAGAGCTTTCTGTTTTAATTGCAAAGTAATATTCAGTAACTGATAACAGAGAAAAGCAATTGTTCAGAGGTCTGATCAGGCTAGGATCTCCTTATCCTGAGCCGAGAAAGATTAATTTCTTTCTTCCTCGGTTGCCTTCATTCCAATAGACTTTCTAAAAAGTGAAATAGAGAATCAGAGCAATGCTGCGAGAGAAGGTTTGTTTCACGCACATCCTGCACTTAACCACTGGTTTATTTCCCAATTGGATTTAGATGATGTGTGAAGCTGTGATATAACTCAACGGTCTTGAAATAAATAACTCCTTGTGTGATTAAGTCAGCAGTGTTTAATCTTTCCCATGGTCAGGCTTTTATTTATTGCTTAGAATTGTATCCAAGTCTTTGGACAGTGATTCAAGTCAAGATACTAGTTTCCAGATTCGCTAGGAGGCAAAAGTACATTGAGTTAGCTATACTTTAAAACATTTGTTTTGCTAAGGTGATCCCTTTTAATTTTTTGCTTTTAAGTGAAAATATTAATTCTTTAGCATGTGTTAAATGATAGGTTCTGGATTTCAAAAAAACAAACAGCAGTAACTTAAAAATGCTTTTCTCGCAAGTCAGTAATCAACTTTCTGATATAAACCTATAAACCAACTAATGTCTGGCTTTTATACCTTGGGCTGCATTATTTTGCCATGTTTGCCCTTCACCGTGTTTTATAAACCATACCAGTTGGTTTTGTGCACACACTAATCCACAACGGAGGGGGAAAAAGATACAATGTCAGAATCGACTCTATTCAACAACAGTGGCTTAAAAATCCTTATTGGTTGTTATGTGCATATACATTGCATAAGCACCAAAGTTATCACAAGGTTAAGTCTACACCCCACTGCTGTAGGAAGTTTACATGGGGTGTCTCCATTTTATCTCCCCCCAAAAAGAGAGCCTTTGAGGTAGATTTGGTAGAGACAGTAACTTAACCAAAGTCACTAAGTGAATTTGTCTGGATGAAGATGGGTTTGGATCTCCAGAATAGGACTATTTGTTATATAGTTGTTGTTGTTTTTAAATGGTCTGGTTTCCTGGGGCCATTTTGACTCATCACGGGTGGGTGCTTATTTATAAGACAGCTTCCTGTTAATATAGATGCCTGTCAAGGATTCAGATGGGGGCGGGGAGCTTGTATTCTGTCCCAGAAAGCCTGGAGGAGAACTTCCTCTGATAAGTATCTATTGCAGAATTGTTTGCCAGAGCTTGAGTTTGAACAGATATTGTGTATCACTCCCAATTAAAACAAAACACCGTAAAGAAATGTAGCTTTCTTCTCAATTATTAATTGTTTGGTCAGTGAAGGGACTCCCTTAAGTGGCTCCCTGCTTGTGATAAGCAATCCTTGAGATTTCTAATAACTTCCTTTGCTGAAGGACATCTTCAATTAAATAACTGAACTAATTAAACGTACGTACAAAAGTTAGTTTTTCTGAACAAACCAGAATGATTTTAAAAAAAAGAAAACATTGTGCAAGTGTTTATGGTTGTAACTTGAAAACCCAGGCTTTGTGTTTAAATTTATCCATTGCAAAATTTTATGCCAGGCATCGCAAAGAATTCCCTTATGTTGAAGAAGTCCAGTAGTACTGGGTACCAATGTTAGCAGTTGGTGTAAGAAGCGGCAGTTGCATTGAGCTCCGTCCACCCTTTTCTATAGAAAAATAACCTGGGAATTCAGAGAGTAAGAGGCAACTAGCTTTGAGTAACAGTTTGCACACAAAGAACCATACTGGAAAAGCCAATGTAATATTTGTTTTCGTACTAATGTTCCAGATTGGTGAAGGGTAACACTATCCCAGAGCCGTATTTGCAAAAGGACAGATGGAGCAAGTCCCAAGGTGTTTTTATTTAAGCTGCCTTGGAATCTTTATGGAATTAAAAAGGTAGCATGGTAATAAAAATCCTAATTTGTGTGCTTTTCAGAAAAGGAGAGGTGTAACGGGAACAGGAATAGCAATATTATTTAGACTTATACGCTGCTTTACAGCTCTCTGAGCAGTTTACAGAGTCAGCCTCTTGCCCCCAACAATTTGGTCCCTCATTTTACCCATCTTGGAGGGATAGAAGGCTGAATCAACCTTGAGCCAGTGAGACTCAAACTGCTGGCAGTCAGCATTCTAACTGCTGCACCACCACGGCTCTTATATTCTCAGGGATCTGGGCAAAAAGAGAACTAATAAGCCAATTGGGGTATAAAGTATGCTTCAAATCCAGCAAAAAAGGATGAGAAAATATATTGCAAAGTTTAAATGTTTTGAGACAGTTCAGGATCGAACTGCACACAGCTGGCAGGCAGCAGAATTAGCCTGCAGTACTGCATTGTAACCACTGCACAACCACGGCTCTTTATGTGATTTGTTTTGGTACAATTTCAGGGAGGGGGGAGTTTTTCAGAATTTCACATTCTAAAATATTTCTGTAAGTTAGAAAAGATCACCCCAATATTGTGGGAGAAGGATCTTCTTTTGGGGGTGAATAATAGCTTGCAAGGCAGCAAACCCAGTGCTGTTGAAGCATCAGTCTGGTTCCTCTTCTAGCTTAATAGCTATGTTTTTATATATGCATCCACGTCCTCCTTCTCCCCACCCACCCCAAAAACACCTCACAAAAGGCTGATTATTGGAGAACAAGAGGCAAAGAGTTGGATGCTTGTTTATCTGATCCTGAACTGTAAAAGGAGAGAAAAAATCTTTGAAATCTTCTTTTCTTGGCATTTTTTGTGTATCAGAACATACCAGATCTGGTACATTAGTAGTTCTGTCATAACAAATTGCCTCTCACAGCAGCGCAGATACTTGTTTACAGTTTATGAATAAATGTTGTTGCAGATCTGACGTCCCCCCTTCTTTCACACAGTTTTATTTTTTTAAAAGCAATGCCATTGTGGTCTTAAACTCTTGCCGTGTTTAAATTGGTTTGGGAAAAGCTGGACCTGTCATTTCTGGTGTACCTTGGTTCATCTATGTGGACACTGTGTTTTTATTTCAGAATGCAAGTATGCTGTCAGCCGGTCCCAAAATGTACTAAACTTTTACCTTTTCAACCCTGTATCTTTCCACTGTGTCCATCTTTTCTACTCCCTTCCTCCAAGCATGCGCTTGGCATCCTGTCTTTTTAGGGATTTTTTTTTTGTAAGAGATCATCTGTCCAGGAGCAGTTTGCTCATAAATTTTATTCTGCATGTTCCATAAAGCCACATCTTTTCTGTTTTCTTAGAGACGTTTCCCCCCTCCCTTTTTCCTTCAAAGAAAATATTTTTTAAGAGTGAATCCACAACTCGCCTTTAAAATGCATGGGGCACTCTAAAGCCGAACTACTAGGGACTTAACTCAGACAGCTCAAAATCTATACTGCAAGACAAATATGCTTGAGTAATGCTTTAAATAAAGGGGACACGGTGGCCGCGTGGCTAAAATGCTGAGCTTGTCAATCAAAAAGGTCGGCAGTTCAGCGGTTCGAATCCCTAGCGCCACATAACAGTGAGCTCCCGTTACTTTCCCCAGTTTCTACCAACCTAGCAGTTCGACAGCATGTAAAAATGGAAGTAGAAAAATGGGAGCCACCTTTGGTGGGAAGGGAACAGCTTTCCGTGTGCCTTCCACATTTAGTCATGCTGGCCACATGACCATGGAGACATCTTCAGACAGCGCTGGCTCTTCGGCTTTGAAATGGAGATGAGCACCGCCCCCTAGAGTTGGGAATGATTAGCACATATGTGCAAGGAGAACCTTTACCTTTACCTTTTAATGCTTTAAGTATAACTATGTCATTATCTTATGCATGCACCAAAATCAATCATGCCATAGTCATATACACTTTACGATGAATGCCGTAGTGTCTTCATACCAGCCATTTTGAAATAAGCAGGTTTTCCCACTTTAGAAGCAGGGAAACTGAGGCAGAACTAAATGATCGTTCAGATCCACCGAGTGCCCTTGTAAAGAACTCAGAAGAGTTTCATGCCTAGGCCTGGGGAAGCCTGGTGTGGTAGATATTTGATCAAATGTTGTATAATAATTGCCTCTTTCATTCGAGTTTCCTGGCTTCCCTTCTGCACCCCAACCTCTCCTAACATCATCTTCCTGCATGAGGAACTTGGCATTGGCTATCCTGAAATATTGATATGTAGCTGAAATAGAAAGTATTTATTAAGAAAATTTATTAAACGCTAGGAATATGGCAACATGTGAAACATATTTCTCTGACAGAGAAATATAGTGGTAGTTACTGTCCAGATATACAGAATTAAGGCCAAAAAGATAACGTGGTTGATAAATTTGTGCTTTTTGTCTTTCCTTGTATATTTCCCATTATCATACCCCAAGTGTAATTCATGTGTTGCATATGAACCATATATAAAGCCATATCAATAATATATATCCCAAAACTGTACAAAACCAAACCAGGATTTGACAGTGTGTTTAGTATATATCTTATATCTAAAAAAAAAAAGTTGGTCTTTTTTTCTAAAAATCTAAAAAAATGGGTTAACAAAAAGGAATAAATGACTTTTTTAAAAATAAGGCACATATCTGATCTACTTTGCTTTCCCTTTGCAGGTATGGTGTCAGTCCTGAAAACATCATTCTGTATGGACAGAGTATTGGAACTGTTCCCACGGTAGACCTGGCATCTCGGTACGAGTGTGCAGCTGTGATCCTTCATTCACCTTTGATGTCTGGATTGAGGGTAGCTTTCCCTGACACCAGAAAAACATACTGCTTTGATGCTTTCCCAAGGTATGTGCAGAATTCCATTGGTGGGAAGCATCATTCATTAAATAACAGTTACATTCCATGTGTAGCCGTAAAGAAAAAAAAACTTATAAGTACATTGTAAATCGTGAAAGGGGTAATAATAATAATCTGGGGTCTCTATTCTCTAACAGAATAGCAGCACAGCAGAGCTGGACAGAATTAGAGGGGGGGGAAATAGCTAAATTCCATTCTTTCTGAAATAAATCTGATCTTTGGGGTGATTACCTAGAGCTTGGAGTGGGTGTGTGATATTAGACTTAAGCGGTTGTGAAATGAGTCTGTTCTCTGTAAAATATGTAAAGCTGATTAACAACTAAGCACAAACTGGTTGTGCATTGTTCTTCCTGGTGAGAGGAAGTGGGCAAGTTTGAAAATGCCATTTAGGAAGTTTTCATAGAATTGGCAGTACAAACGTTGGACAGTTGGGAAAAACAAAACAAAAAGTATAACTACAGAAAACAGAATTTCACAGACAGGCAGGGCTGCCATCAGGCTCCCTCAGCTCCTCCTATTTTGGATTCTCAAGACTATTCTTCTTTTCAGCAAGAAAGAAGATTCGAGATACGTTGGGGTCCAACAGCTGGAAAAGCCCATCTGGCTGTCATAAGGAAGTCTCCTTCTGCCTACCTCCTATCTGCTAGTTTTTGCTGCTTTATTCCTGCGAGCCCACCAGACATTTACAGTAAAGCAAAATATTTTCCCCTGAAACATGCCAGACTGATCTCATTGCAGTACATGGACAGCTTTGTTAATTCCTTGAAAGCAGCTTCTAGGGGAATGTCCTTTATCAGACACGATCAATTACGGAGGAGCCCAAGTGCAAACATTTACATAACATTTTCCAGTTCCTTTTTTAAAAAAATTTAGTCTGCATACGATATCTATAAGGGATGCAGTGACTCAATTGCTTAGATGCTTAGCTTGTCGATCAGAAAGGTTGGCAGTTTGGCAGTTCGAATCCCTAGTGCTGCATAACGGAGTGAGCTCCCGTT